AGTGTTTTTTTGTGCTGAAGGCAGGATGGGGGAGGATTTATTGTTGTTGTTTATGAGACTGGGAAGGTCTATTTTTTATAGAGTGTTAAGCAGTTGGTAATTTAAAAAATTAAATTAAATTAATTTAAAAAACGTTGTCGTCGACCGGCTCAAGCCTACGCGACTGGACCGAAAGGAATATGGGTAAAAATAACTGAAGCGGTTAAATTTTCGTTCTGAATTAATTGTTCCCGCTAGTAATAAGATAATAATGGCGAGAAAAAATCCATTAAATGCATGTCTTTGGGTTTAGGGAAAGAAAAACAAAGTAGGTATGATTCAGTTCACAATAGACGACTTGCACTAAGAGGTCACGTGATCAAATCGGCCATTGTGGCTGGCATTCTACAGGATTTTAGCTATGCGAGAATGTAAAAAAAGATGGCGGATTCGCGTGGTTTTTTGGGTGATAAAAGGTAAGTTAGCGCACTAAATAACTATAAAAATCCCCTTTTCTCGCAAGAAATATATTCTTAGTAGATGTCTAAAGTAGATTTGTGCTATTAACTCGTCAAAAAGAGAAAAAATATGGTATTCTTTGCAATAGGATGTGAAGACCTACGAAGTGTTTAGTATGGTTTTTCTGGCTTCATGACCTCAAAGCATACAATATTTTTCCTCTTCCTGGCGAATTAATAGCAAAATTATACTTAAAATATCCATTAAAAGTATATTTCTTTCAAGAAAAATGCAGTTTTCAAGAATGAAGTTGAAATATACTTGAAATGTTTCGACAAGAAGTCGTTGTTTTGAGGTCATGAAGCCGGCAAATCAAGACTAAACACTTCGTAGGTCTTCACATTGTAGCGCAAAAAATACCATATTTTTTCTCTTTTTGGCGAGTTAATAGCAGAAATCTACTTTAGATATCTACTAAGAATATATTTCTTGCAAGAAAAGGGGATTTTTATAGTTATTTAGTGCGCTAACTTACCTTTTTTCACCCAAAAAACTACCGAATCCATCTTTTTTTACATTCTCGCATAGCTAAAATCCTGTAAAATGCCAGCCACAATGGCCGATTTGATCACGTGACCTCTTAGTGCAAGTCGTCTATTTCGATAATATGAAGGCATTAAAAAGACGTCTCCTTCAACACTTCACGCTCGCCTACGAAGGTTCGTGCTGTAAACTTAAACCAGGCATAACTAGTCAGRTAAAATTATGGAGTCAACTCTGCTTCAATGGCTGCTACCCAGAGTTCCTTTCGGTGCAGTCGCGTAGGCTTGAGTTGGTCGACGACAACGTTTTTTGAATTGACTGTATAATAACGCCTGATTTTATAGTAGCCTCCTTTACAGACGTCCTGCGGGGTTCGGTT